TAGACGCTGTGCTGCTGAGCTACATCCCTGGCCCAGTATTAGCTCATTTTATAGATAAGGAAACCAGAGAGGTTGAGTAACTTGACCAAAGTCACATAGCTGAAAAAAGGCAGATTCAAACCCAGGCCAGCCACCTGCACAGCCACACTCTAAATTCCCTTTCCCTCACCCTTCATGTGCGGTGTGCAAAGCAAGCTGTGCTCCTAATCTCATTAGGACTGAGAGACTCCCTCATTTTATAGCGGGGTCCAGAGGGGTTAAATAACTTTAACCCCAAGGTCACACAACTAACAGAGATGAAATGTGAACCCACACCCTCAGCAGCAGGGTTACTCTGTGACTCCAAACACGAGTAGGGGAGTGGGCTGGACCGGGTGGGTGCTCCTCTGAGGTTCAGGATGCCTGCCCAGAGGTGTGGAGACTGCTGGCCGGGGCTGCTGGGGGAGGCAGGAAGGGGGTGGCTTTGGTGTTAGTCACAGCTCAGGGAAAGAGGAAATTTGGGAGGGGGCGGAAAGAAGCTGCCAGATGCAAGAAATAAGTAAGGGTCTCCCTTCTAGGGCTCAGGGTAGGGAATTGGGAGCCGTGGTTTAGGGGAGCCCGGGAGGAGGGTCCCTCAGATGTCAAAGAATCCATCTGGGAGGGGACTATTTGTCTTTTGGCAGTCACCACATTCCCAACAGCTTCTAAGCCTGTTGATCATATAATTGTTGTGTGACCTGGGAGCCAGACTGTCTGGGTTCAGATCCTAACTTTGCCACTTCCTGTTTGACCTGGAGCAGGTTGCTTAACCCGGTATGGTCCAACCTTCCTTTGTGTGAACCGGGAGTAACGTGAGCACCTGGTTCAGCATTGTCTGCGAGGAGCAACTCATGCACACAGAGTGCCTGCCAGGGCCTGGTGCACCCCAGCGCCCCTGCGGCTGGCTCTTGGAAGGCTCACATACTACTCTTGAGCATCTTAGGCCCCTGAGGTGGGCAGCATGTGACCCCTGACTTATTTGGGGGTTAACTGAAGACCAGCCAGTGGGAAAAAGAAACCTGACTTGCTGAAGGTGACACAGCTCTTGCTAGCAGGGCTGGGGTCCAGCCAGGGTTTCTGTCTGGGACACCAAGCATCCTGAGTTGGAAATGGAGACCCAGGCTGGTCCTCACTGGGGAGTTGGAGTAAGCGGGGTGGGGCTGGAGAGGAGAGGAGAGTGACTGAGGCCGAGGAAGCAGAAAGGAGAGAAGACAGGAGAGGACACAGGGATGAGCAGGGGAGGCTGGAGGAGTGGGCCTTGGACTGCATGGAGCTTTGTCTGCCTTTCAAGCATATCAAACAAATTACAGCCTTCTTCAGGATCTTTGCATTTATTTCCTTTGCTCGGAATGCTGTTCCTTCTACCCAGAATGCTGTTCCCTCTGCCTCACACTCAGTTTCATCCCCATTATAGAGCATTGACTCTTTTGGGACTCAGCTCAAATGTCACCTCCTCAAAAAGGCCTTCCCCAACTGCGCCATGTAGCTTGGCCTGGTGGCACACACCGAATAATCCCAGCACTTGGAGGAGGCTGAGATAGGAGGATTGCTGTGAGTTTGAGGCCAGCCTGCACTACACAGCGAGACCCATCTTCAAAAACAAAACAAAACAGAAAACTCACGCTAACTATCCTGTGGGAAGCCTCCCCCATACCTGCTTCTCTGTCACTCCTTCCTGCTCGTGTCCCTCCTGCTATTCGGCGCCATGGAAGTTCTTTCTTCCATCTCACTGCCTCCTCGGAGGCAGGACCTTCCCGCCAGTCCTGTTCAGTGGGGAGGGCAGTGCAGAAGCCAGAGAGGCCAGGAGGCCGACAGATGGACCAAACGGCTGCTGCCTTCAGATCAAATGCTGCTTGCACCCTTAGGAGCGAGGGTGAGCAGCGTATCAGCCTGCCCGGGCACTTGTGTGTGTTCGCACACACACCTCCTGCGACTTCCCCACCTCCCAACTCCATCTTGTTTGCCATCTGTCTCTCCGGTCACTCAGCACTCGCTGGCTCCCATTGGCTCTCTTCTCTTCCCGCTTGGGAATCTGCCCTTGTCCTCTCCGCATGCACATGCACACGTGTGAGGGCTTCTGTGATGTGTCTCCAGTTGTGAGCCTGGCCTGTGAGGGCCCTTGTGCTGCTGCCTGCCATCCTCACGGGCCATGTGCAGTGAGGAGCAAAGACCCTGGGTCCAGCTCTAGGCACCACCCCCCAGCCCAGTGGCTCAATCATTTTGGGTAACTTCCTTGATTGCTCCAAACCTCACCCGTCAGATGGGACTGAGAAGAGAATCTGCCCAGGGTAGCCATGAGGACGTGAGAAGAAACAGCCTAGTGCACGTCTGTCTCCACCTCCCCACCCTGCACGGGTGCGAACAGACCCAGATCGTCCACCTGTAGCCTGACGCCACCCAGAGCAGAGCAGGCATTTGATCCTCTGTTCCTAGGGTCTCGTTTGCCCACACCTGCCTGCCTGCTCGCTCTGTCTCTGTCTCTTCTGTCTCTCTGTCTCTCTGGAACTGGAGAATGAACACTGAGCTGCAGTCCCAGTCCTTTTTTAAAAAAAATTTTTTTTTAGCCAGGTGCAGTGGCGCACACATGTAATCCCAGCACTCGGTAGGCTGAGGCAGGAAGCCAGCCTGGGCTGCATGGCGATTTACTAGATAACTTGCTGTCCTCTTGCCATGACCCCCAACAGCTGGGATTGCAAGGCGTGTGCCACCATGCCTTGTCCAACCTCTTCCAGAAATGGAAGCTGTGCTCATTGTTAAACCCACATACCTCAGAGCAGGAATGCCATGTGCTGAACGCTCGCCTGGGGCCTGCCCATCTCAGGATGAGGGGACCAGCAGCCTAGGATCACAGAGTAAGGCCAGTAGAGGCCAGAAGGCCTGGCTTCGTGTCGGGCTCTGGACTCTTCCTACAGCCATGGCCCCTCTGCCCATATCTGCTCTGGCTCTAGAGCTCAGCACTGAGGACTCAATAGAGGGGCCCTTCAGAACCAAGCAAGGACAGAGGGACTGCCATTCAGCAGCAGGATGAATGGGAAACGCCCGTGGTTCAGCAGTCCTGGGTTCAAATTCACCTCTGACCTTATTTTCTGTGATGCCCTAGGCTGATGAGGCAAGCTTTCTGAGCTCTTTCCTCACCTGAGACCTGTGAGGGCAGAAAGTGATAGCTGCCCTCAGCAAATGTGTTCTCTCTGCAGCATTAGGCACTTTTCCTGCTTTCCTCATTGTGTCCTCTTGTCCTCCATGGGGAGTAGACATTACTGCCGCAGCAAATGAAGAGACTGAGGTTCAGAGGGAAGCATCATGTGGTCTTAAACAGCTCACCTGAGGCCGTTTTTTCTTTAGACAGGGTCTCACTATGTAGCCCAGGCTGAGCGCAAACTTGCCAAGATCCTCCTGTCTCAGCCTCCCACGTGCTGGGATCACAGGCATGTGCCATCATACCTGGCCATGGGCTGGTTCTCTGTCTCAGTTTCCCTGTCTAAAAAAGGTTTTATAAGCTGGGCGTGGAGACACAGCCTGTTATCCCAGTACTCAGGAGGCTGAGGCAGGAGCATCTTGGTGAGTTCAACACCAGCCTGGGCTACAGAGTAAGACCCTGTCTCAAACACTGACCCCTCTCCAAAAAATGAGGGTTATAATAATGTCTACCTCACAGCTGTAAGCATGAAATGGATAAATATATATATGCTGGTACATAGAGCAACTCACAGCACATTGTAAAACACTTTAAATCTTTGTCACAATTGCAATTATGTTGGCCAATGGTTCTTACCGAGTTTTAATCAAGACCGAAAGAGATTACAGGAGTGAAAGACTCATGCAGAAGGCACACTGAATGATGACAGTTTGTTCAGTTTTGGGGCACAGCACCTCACCCTTAGCAGGCTGGGTAGGAGCCGGCCTGGAGGCCGTGTGCCGTGCCCGTGCCTGTGAAGTGGGGGCAGTGGTGTTTGCTCATCTTTCTCGTGGGGCTTGGTAGAGGATAAAGGATCGTGGGTATAAATGAAGTGGGTTAGTAGTCCTTAGCTCTCTTAGTAATTACGGCCCCTTAATGGACCGTCCTTGGGCCCTTCCACCTTTCTCTCCGAGGGGCAGGTGAACATGTAGTCTGGGGTACTGCAGGGATGAGTCCAGGGGAAATGGCTCTGGGAACAGGAGAGAACGAAAGGACTTCCTCAAGTTGGCTTGGGAAAAGGGAAGAGACAGAAGACAAGAGAGTTCCCCAGCGCCTGGCCCGCTGAGGCTGAAGAGGAAGGGGAGGAAGCCCTCAGGGCGACCAGCCGACCATCCTGGAAGTTGGATCCCCTGTGGAGGCTGGCAGAGCTCATAGATGCCCTCTGGGGGGGGGGCTTGAGAAGCCAGCTGTCCTCTCCAGGCCCCCAACACTCACCTGTACCGCCCTCCTGCAGAGGCAGCATAGGCAAAACAGAGCCACCACCTTCCTGACACAGACAGGGCTGTCTGGGGTGTCTGGACACGTGCTCTGACCCAGGGTGACGCCCACTCTGTCCAGCAGGACTCAGGGAGGCCTAGGGAGGCCTGCTCCACTCTCATGCGGCTATCCTGGGCTAGGCGGGCTGTGGAGCCTCCTTACGGTGCTCTCTTGGCTTTGAGCATGGTACACGGGTCCCATGGCTCTGTCTGGGTTCGGTCTGAGCTGTTGGGTTTCTGCTGGGCCCTGCCCTGCCAGGTCTTCTTGGGTCTCAACAGGCTGCACCCCAGGCAGAGGCTGTTTGGATCCTGCCTCGATCTCTTTCTGGCTCTCTCTCCAGCCTAGATTCTGCTGGAGCTCTGACCAGATTCTTTCCAGAAATCAGGGTGAATTCTGTTTACATTTCCACTGGGGCTGATTAGGGCTCCAGATGCAATTAAGCTTCGTGGGCTCAGATTCTGTTCCCAGACCTCTGTCCCAAGCAGAGAGGAGTAGGGAACCCGGGGAGGGCTCCTGCGCCCTCTTCACAGCTCAGGGTGTGCATCCAGACCTGAGCACAGAGGGGATGGGCGTACAGGGCCATCCTGGGCCCCCTGGGGCTGTGACCAACAGCGTGAGTCTGCGTGTCAGTGCACCTTTGCCGTTGGTCTGTGTGCAAGTGCACATCAGCATGCAATGTCTGTGTGGGCATCGGGGCCTATTTCTGTGTGCCTGTGTCAGCTCTTCTGTCTGTGTCACTGTCTGTCTGGCGGTGGCGGTGGTGTGGGTGGGCAAATCCCTTTGTGTCTCAGCTCTGCTGTTGGAGGGCTGAGCAGCTGCAGGTTGCAACTGGGAAATCCGAGCAAGGGAGAGTAGGTGGGTGTGTGGTAGAAGGGGCTGGGTGAGAGTGAGTAAAAGCAGGGCAGAGCCACTGCAGGGGAGGGGTCGGCAGGGGGCGGGAGGGGAAGCACTGGGAACGGGGAGCTGGGCGCTGCCTGCAGCCCGCCGGCCCTCCCTCCCCACTCGGTGCCTGCTGTGGCAGTGAGATGGCCTTGCACAGGCTCAAGGCTGGCTGGGTGGGGGCAGCAGGGACAAGAACAGGAGTAAATCGAGATTGGGCAGGTACGCTGGAGACTACCAAGGAGGTCCAGGCTCCTGGGACACCATTCAAGACTCCTTGTGGCAAAGCTGACATGCAGTACTTGGTGGTTAAAATACAGAAATGCGTCCATACTGGTTGGTCAGTGGCAGCTGCTCTGAATACTGTCCCCTTCCTGGATAAATCTAACCCTCAACACTTGTACCCCAGAGATGCTTTTTGCTTATTTCCTCAAGACCCCTTTGGGCTGTCAGCTTTCTTGGCCTCCAGGGCCTTGTTTCACAAGACAGTGCAGTCTTCATTCTGACTTTTGATGCTCTCAGCATCCCTCCTGCCCAGGATCCTTCCCAAGACCCCTTCCTAAGCCTGGAGCTGAGGGGATGGGTAACAGGTTGAGGCCTGGAGTGCTAAAGTGCCCATCTTGGGGGTCAAGATAGGGGCTGCTAGGCCAGGTGTGGTGGCGCACACCTGTAATCCCAGCACTCGGGAGGCTGAGGCAGGAGGATCACTGTGAGTTCAAGACCAGCCTGGGCTACATAGTGAGATCCTGTCTCAAAAAACCAAAAAAAAAAAAAAAAACA